AACTGTGAGGAAGGGACGGCGGAGCCCGGCTAAGCTGCCGCACCAGAGATAAAAAAATACTGGTAAGCATTAGATTTTCTCCTTTTTCTGCCGATAAACACCTCCTAATCATGAATTAAACAAGTTTTTATCGAGAACTAGCCGAAAAGGGCCTGATTGAGAGGAGGAGCCACCAGAGAAGGAGGACTTGACAGCCGAGCACGGCGATGTTGCTGCATCGGAACCCCAACTCGACCCCCAGTGAGATTATTTTTGTCCTTTTGGCCTTTTTGTGTATTTTTATGCTATTTTTTACTTACGTTTCAATTTTAGCAAAAAAATTCAAGAAATCTAGGAACCAGGAATCGTCAAAAAAGCGTAGTGAAAAAGGTAGTATTCTAAACACTGACCTAGTGTAAGAATCTCTCACCCATTTTCTCTGTTACCATTAAATTAAAGTTAAATTGATAATAAATAAAAATTTTAGTTAATTATCAATCCTTTAATTAATTAAGTACAGGTAGTCAATGGAGCAAGTAATCGATCAGTCTACATCTATTTTGAGTTTCAATTGCAATAATTATTTCTTCAGTTGTTTATTATACCTACTTATTCACTGTTCTATTTACTTTAATTTATTCGCTTTAAGTCTATGGCTAACGTGGTAAGGTTTCATAATCTATGTTGTCCGATCACTCTATTATATGTATAATACATTTCTGACAATATAATACATGCTTATTTTACATACAAACTTGAAAATATGAATTTTGTACTTACGTGTTATTTGAAATATTGATATACGTGTCTTTTAAGGCTAAATAGCAAATAAAAAGAAAGATATGCGTGAATTAATGGTGTTGAATGAAATGGCTCTACCGAGTGTCTTGAAAAAAAGTGTATGAACTTGGTGCATAGGTGAACTCTACATTGGATCCTACCCTCAGTCGTACAAGATTGAGAATTCTCATGTTGGAAGAGGTTCAGAATTGTTTTAATTACGCTCATACCGAAATGGTATTGAGGCAGTTGTGTGTTTTGGTACCCATTATCGAACGGGGTATGGAGACGACCGTTTGATCATAGAGAGAATGTTTGTGTCCACGTGTAGTGGGGATCCCTATGGACCCCTAGTGACACCGGTAAGAAATGTAAAATGATAGAGATAGAAATGGTGAGGAATATAATTTTAAAAAATGGCATAAGGTTAATTGTTATATGTCTTTTAGAATGCGTACTGTAGATGGTTATTCTGATTCTTATCTTAATAAATGATATTTAAGAATTTACAGGTGAATTGAGAAAATATTAACATTTTCAGTGAAATGAATTTAATTAAGAATGGACTCTATTAGTTGTTTTATGTTTTCTACAACCCTTTGATTTTCTGTATCAGTGGTAAGATGTTGATATTTTTACTAAAATAGTGTAGCTCACATTTTATTATTAACAATTTCATATCAGGATGACCAAGATTCGGATTTTGAGCAGCAAGAAAACTAGTTAGGAGTTTGCCTCTCTATTTTTCTAGTTTCGAGCAGAGGTTGATCATAATTATTTTCTTTATTACTTTTTTCATATAAGTTTTTTTAAGGGTATTCTCGTAACCTTATTGAGTATTTTAAGTAAATTGTGTAAGGAATATAAACCTAAACGATAAACTGCTTCTGCTAAATTATAAATTTCAGTATTGTTTTATTTTACTATTTCTAGGTTATATTCTTAGAATCTCCAATAGGGGTTTGAGCTTTTACAACTTGATAAATTTTTAAATCTCTTTAAAATAGTTTTACCATTTTATACCGATTTTCCATCTTTACGTAATTGAATTAATTTAATAATGTAATTGAATTAATTAATTAAAATATGAATTTCATTAGAAAAAAAATTAATATAAACACAACCTTTTTTATGATAAAGATAGTCTTCAAATTTTTAATAAAAAAATATAGTCAATTTTTTTAAAAAAATGACTTAAAATTTGTCACAAATTTTTGACAGCCGTACTCACGAGAGTTGCGTGCTGCTTCTTAAAAAATCAAAAGTCGATGTTACAAAAAGTGACACAGAGGAAGACCTCTATTTTGTTCGTACTGAGACAAGTCATGCATGCACTCATCAACTCAACCTCTTTTCCTTATCTCTAATAGCGCGTGATTCACGATATGCTATAGTGCATTTATCTCTCGATTCTCGACATATCTTTAGTATATACTTTTTAGAAAAAAATTA